GGGGGCGTGAGCCGTGAGCCGGTGAGCCGGTGAGCCGGTGAGCCGGTGAGCCGGTGAGCCGGTGAGCCGTGGCTAGAGCCAAGGCCGCGCGCGAGTGCTGTGGCGACCAGTGAGCGCTACTCGCGCGATGCTCGGAGTGGCCCACGCTCCAAGTGACCGCCGACGGACGGGGTGTGTGCGCTAGACGGGCTTGGCGGTGCGGCGAGGGCGAGCACCTGGTGGGCCTGCACGAGGGTGAGGAGGGCGGGTGCCTCGGTGCTCAGCTGCTGCAGCAGCGGGCCCAGCTGGCTCGGGTCCTGCCGCGCCAGCGTCACACACTGCATTAGTCGTGGCTCCGACAGCATGCGCTGCAGCGGCGTCAGCGGAGGCGGCGCGGCGGGCGCCGCTCCGCCGATCGCAGCTAGGATGTTGTCCGCGGTGAAGGCGGGAGTGGCCGCCGGGGCCGCGGGCGCGGCAGTCGGCGGCGCGGCCGCCGGCGGCGCGGCCAGCGGAGTCGCCTCCGGAGGTGGCGCAGCGGGCGGAGCGCTCTCTGCCGGCATCGAGGAGGGGTCGAAGAGGTACTGAGCCGCGCGATCGGCATTCCCGAAGGCTGCGGTCAGAGCGACCACGACGGCATCGCGCGGGAATCCCATCTCAACGAGTGAGTCCACCACAGCAGCGTCGACTCCAGGCGGCGCTGCGGGCGGTGGCGCCGGAGCGGGCTCCGGTTCCGGTGCCGGCGCCGGCGCTGGAGGTGGCGTCGGCGCAGCGACCGGCGCCGCGGCGGATGCGGCAGGCGCAGGCTTGGGCTTCATGAGCACCATAAAGTCGCCTGGGGCGATGCCGAGCGAGGAGAGTTCGGCGCTGTCTGCGAGCACGCGGCCACGAAAGATGATTTTGGAGCGGTCTGCGGGCGCCCCGATATCCATGGCCTGGAGTTTGGCCTTGACCTCGGCGACCGTCGCCGTCTCGGCCACATCGACCTCGTATTTCTCGTCGGCGAGCGTCTTGATGAGCATACGTATAAAGCTGCGATGACTCCCTGCGATGACTCCGCGAGCGAAAAAAGAAATCACCGTAAGGGCCGGAGGCAGCGCAAGCGGACAGAGCACTAGAGACGTGCGATGGAAAGAGTAATGCGCTAATGCCTCGGCGTGGAGCGACGTGCTCGATCGATTCGTTGAATACAGCAGGGAGGTAAACGGCCTCGACTGCTCCGCCATCAGCGCCGCCCCGGAGCGGCGCAGAGTGGCCACCTCGACCTCCCGGGCGTAGAGTGCGCGGTCGGCGACGTAGCCCGGATTACTTTTGTGTTGAGCTAGCCTTCAATGTTAAACGCGAGGCCGACGCATGGCTCAAAAAATGAGTGAGGGAGGCACGGGGCTCACGTACTCGCACGTCTTTTTCTTTTCTTTGAAGAAGAAGAAAAAGAGAAATTATCTTGTCGCCAGTCACACAAACACGCGCGCACACCGCACCGCGCTGCGCGCGCACCCCCCCCCCCCCCCACACACCCACACACCGCACCCCGCCCGCCGCGCGCCCACGCCCACCGCCCCGCCTAGGAAGGTCAGACGGGCCAAGTGACTGGAACACATCAGGACGGCAGTGGGTGCGACGAGGAGCTCGCAGGCCCGCCCCCGCTCGAGGCCTTGTTGATCTCGCGTACGCCTTTGTAGCCGCGGAGCCGCAGCCCCTCCCTCCGCCGCCACCGCCTCCTCAATGCCCTCCTCCGCCTGCGTTCGGCCGGTTGGAAGACGTCATGGCGGGCATGTGCGACCCTTAAGAACCCGCGTGCGACCAGAAGGTCGGCTGTGAGGCAAGGCTGAAGGCGCGTGAACTGACGGCAGGTAAGCCGGCAGGTGGGGGGCGGGGATGTGCCGGGTGGATCCCCAAGCGGGCGAGCCGGGCCCGTGCATAGTTCGGGCGCGGGGGGCGCTGGGGGGGCGCGGGAGCATGAGAAAGACGCACCGACATGCTGGTGGCTACCGGTCTCTTCATTGCCTGATTTTGTTTTTGATTCTCGTTGGACCGTCGCTCGGAGCGAATCGAGCGAGTGAGTATTCTTGATACGAAACCACGACGACACACACCAGTCGACTCGCATCGGTTGCCTCCATGAACGGCGGAGCTATTCTCGCGCCCACACCACACCTGGCTCCAACGTGGACACGCCCATAGCTGGGGACACTACTAGGTCACGCATGGCACACACACACACAACACGGAGCGAATCCCCAAACCTCTCAGCTCAAGCGCCGTTGCAACTGCCATGTCACGGCCGGTCGGCTGCAGCTCTCGCCTCGCTGGCGGCGCGGTCTGGTGCCGCGGCGCCCAGCTCTCCTGTGGGCTCGCGGCGGCTCGCCGCCGCGGTGCCGAACAATGTGATCAGTCTGGATTCGTCCCGGCGTGCCGCCGGTGCCGCTTCCTCGCCAATTTTTGGCTCGACCAGTTTGTCGACAAAACTGTGCCAGAGCCCCTGCTGCTCGACTGAGCGGCGGAGCCGGCCCGTCGCGGCCGAGAGGCGGTGCGCCGACACCGGGGCTACGGCTCGGGACCGTTTCCAGGCTCTCTCGAGCAACCTCAAATTTTGATGATTTCATGACCGCCACTTTGCTGCTCTCTGACCACAACCTCGCGGCCCGCTGCGCGGCTCTCCGAGCGCGAGAGGAGTCGTCTACGAGGCGGCGGCGAGCGCAGGCGGCGGCGGCGCGGCGGCGCGGCGGCGGATCGCGGCGCAGACAACGGCAGGAATCTGCGGCAGGCTGCTGTCTGCTGCTACAACAGCTGCTGCTGCTGCTGCTGCTCCGCCGCTGCCGATTGTGGACACGATTCCCCCGATCACCCCGCCCGCCCGCTCCGCCCCGCCCGCCCGCCTCTCCCCGCTTGCCCGCCCGCCCGCCCGCCCGACCACCCATTCCCATCACCATCTCACATACCTTCATACAGGCGCTCGAGACCTCCTCTCGCGGCCTACTCGCTGCCTCGAGGGAGGAGGGGAAGACGTAGGGTTGAGCTGGACTCGCCTTTCCTGAGGCCCCTCCCCGAAAGGGCAAGTATTAGACCCATGAAATCCGAGACCCCTCCCCACCGCCCCGACCCCCCCACCCCCTTGCTCCCCTCCCCCCCTCGGGAGGGCCGAACTGAGGCGCCCGAGGGGACCCCGCATTCCCTTCCCCCCTCGGAGGGCCGGACTGAGGCGTCGAGGGCCCCACTCTTTCCTTCGCATAGCGGCCACTCTTCGGATCGCTGGTCGAGCGACCCGGGGGATGCCCCGCGCCGGCCTGACCCAGGCGCGGAAACGAATCTGCGAGGCGTGGCCGCTCATGCGGCCCGATGGGGAGGAATGGGGCGGACTACGGGGATGGGCTTCTTACACAGCCCTTCCCTGCAGCGAGCCCCCCTCCAACCCACCCGCGCTAGGTCTCGGGTTTGACGCATGGGGCCACACACTCCCAACGCGCTCGTCGGTGACGGTGTCCCTCAACCTGCGCCGCGCTCGGCGAACCTAGACAGCGCCTTCGGTGGCATGCAGCTCTCTTTGCGACAGAAGCCAGTAGAGCAGCTCCTCTGCTGCTCACACGCTCTGCACAGTTGACACAGCCTACTGTGCGGCTGCCACAGCTGTCACAGCGATGGGCTCGCCCTCACTGGCCCTCAGTCACTTGTGCTGCGGCTCGTGTGAGCGACACTGCGGTCACTGCTCGGCGACTGCCGGCACACTGTGAGACCATGTGTGTGAGGTTGAACCACGCTACCAGCGCTTAGTTACATCAGCCCTGAGGTCAGATCCTTCTGCTGTGTTGATGACAACACTTGTCCACTCGCTGGAGCCGAGCAGAAGGGCCCAGCGCACAACCCCGGGTCAACGCACCCTCCACTAGAGGGCCCACAGCGTCCTAATCTAAAATCTGAGGATTGAGGATTCAGCCTTCGCTTTAGTGAGGCCAAAGTGAGTTTATGGATGGGTGAGAACGATGCGCGACACGAGGAGGCACACGCACCGACTCGTCGGCGACTCTGCTGCACGCCGTTTCAGAATTTTTCTCAGCGTGAGCGAGACGTGGAAGAGTGCCACCGTCGGGTAGGACGGGTCGGCCCGGCGCATCGGAGTAGCCGTCGTGGTCGCGGCGAGCAGCGCCGGCCACTCCGGCGCCGCGTCGGCACCATGGGAGCATGTCCACCGCCACTTCGCGGTCGCAGCGCTGTTTGTCGCCCAAAACGCCGCCTATCCCTCTGGCGGGCCAAAGATCGCCTCGCATGTCGATTTTGACTCGACGGGGGCATGGAGGCATCACGTCTCCATGCCCCCGTCAAGTCGGAGCCAGTCTGCGGCGACCACAGCGCTCACCGCAGGGATAGGCGAGCTTTTCAGAGTCAAGCGATTGCGCGAAATCCGAGGACCCACACTGGTGGCGGATTTTGGGGCGCTTGTGGGCCCCCTACA